CATGATCTGCAGACAGGAACAGAATGGCTTTGCAGTGCTCTTCCAAAGTCAGTGCCACTGAACTGTTTTGGCTTTGCAAATCCCAAATCTGGGGGACCTGTGTGAGGAATGTCCTTCTTGCTGCCCCCTCTTCCCATCACGTAATGGGGACTTCTCTTGTCTCTGTGAGTATAGAACCAGGAAGACTTTTTGGTGAGCTGTTGGCTTCTGAAATCCCTTTGGATTTTCAGGTGAAGCCAAGTGTTTCAGTTTTTATACGGAAAACCTGTAGGTTTACGTGCTTGTTGCAGAAATAACTAACCAACAGCTCATTTAACAAGTGACTGACTGACTGAAGTTTACTTCAGCTCCACTTTCTGATAGATTTCAGGTGTGGCTTCAGGTGCATTGCAATAGGTGTCCTGGTTTTGTGGAAGAGACAAAATTCTGGGTCATTTCCAGGACTGACCTTGTGGCTCCCACAGACTGAAGAAATTGAACCCTCAGCCCTTCTTGGGGTATGGAGGGCAAACTTTGGGGGCCTTCAGGGCTTAGCAAGGAAAGGCCTGCAAAGACCCAGTTAAGCAACTTGTCTCTCTTAGGAATATTGCTAAAATATTGGGTGCTCTCTGCTCTTGCTATTGGTTTTGAGGAGGTAATAAATAACTTTTTTTTTTTTTTTTGGTATGTGTGACCAGATGGTGTCCTGGGGAAAATTAACCTAGATGAAAAGTTCGCAAAGAAGCAAGTATTTTTCATGTGCCAGGGGCTGGACCTGATTGGGAAATGTGTGCAGTTGAAAATGGTGCTAGAACCAGTGAACGTTAGCATGGTAGAGTTGCCGTCGCTACTTTAACCTCCCCCTCTTTGCCCCATCCATTCCCATCCCTCTTCCTCATGCCTACTTTTTTTTTTTTTTTTTGGTATGTGTGACCAGATGGTGTCCTGGGGAAAATTAACCTAGATGAAAAGTTCGCAAAGAAGCAAGTATTTTTGATGTGCCAGGGGCTGGACCTGATTGGGAAATGTGTGCAGTTGAAAATGGTGCTAGAACCAGTGAACGTTAGCATGGTAGAGTTGCCGTCGCTACTTTAACCTCCCCCTCTTTGCCCCATCCATTCCCATCCCTCTTCCTCATGCCTCTCCTAGCAGCTAGCTAAGTCACATAATGAACTGGGAGCTTCAAAGTCAGTGCCCTTTATTTAGCATCCTTTTTTATATTTCACAAAGAGACAGTGTTTGAAATGCTGGGGGGAAGAGATGGTGGTGTCTATTGACACAGCATGTAATGTTAAAACATACTTGCCACTTAGAAGCCTAAAAATGATAAAAATCAGTTTGAGATCCTTCCTGCTCCCTGCAGAGTTGACAGCACCAGTGGAGGATCGAGATTTATCCCAGAGATGAACGCTGCAGGGTAGGAGCTGCCTGAAAAAAACCCAAAGGAACAATAAAATTTGTTAATACTGATGTCGTGTCTCTTTTTGGGCTTTCCTCATGGTTGTTCTGTGGCACTGAAACTTTCAAATAAGTGAACTTTGTTTCATCCTGAATAGAGCAAAGCAACAGCATCTTCTTCCTTTTCCCTTGATCTTTTGAGAAAATTAAACAAGAAGCAATTATGTATCAGTTGGCTGCTGCTGAGCTGATGTGTTTCTTCTTAGATGTCTTGATTAGTGGTTTGATCTTGCAATTATTATCCATTATGAAAGCTGGGAATTATGGGTACATCGGAAGTCCAGGGTCAAACCATGTAGCTGTTCAGTGCTGTATTCTGTATAATGCTCAGAATTAGTAATAAAACATTGGAAAATGTCCTTAAATAAAGAGGATGGTGCATATTTGTCCAAGCCCATCCTCCATGGGCTTATGATACTTGGGTCTATACTCGTCTTGAACAAAAAAGACTTCAAAACTCTCTGCTTTGAAACAAGCTTGATTTTCTTCTTTATAAATTGGAAAATATATGTATCATCTTGGACTTAAAATCCTAACAATTTGTAAGCCAGCTCTTGTTCCCTTTCTGGACAGGGGAACTAATTACCCACCACACTTTTATTTTGCTTGGAAGACTTTTACATAGTTCTAGACTAAGGGCAGTAATCCATGATCATATTAAAAAAAAGAAAAGGGGAGTAAGTTTGTAGACATTTAAAGCTAGTATACATTTTATTCTGTGGAGCTCCATCACCATGTTTTATTAACTAAAGCTTGTGTGAAATAAGCAGTTGAAGGAGGAAAAAAGTGAAGTTTGGCTTTTTAAGTCTTTCCTGGCTACCCAGTAAAACCCAGTATGATCAAGTGAACTGATGGTGGGTTGGAGGGACAGAAGCCTCTATTGTGAATATTTTTCATCTTACCTTAGGTTTTACGCTGTGAAATCTAAATACCTGTAGAAGTCACTCAGCCTTTTGGTTTACCCATGGATAAGAATTAATGTTTAGTTGCTTTATGGTTTTAGAGATGCCTGTTGGCAAATACTGCCCTCTCCTGCTCCCTGGGCACAGGAGGTCATGCTGGTCCTTGCCCAGAAGAGGCAGATGAAGGTGAAGGGGTTTTCTGGTGCTTCACATCTCCCTTTAGGCTGGAAGGCGTAGTGGACCATCTCTGTTTTGACGTTGCACTCCACTTGGATGAGAGAGAAAGCTGCACAAGTGTGAAATACTCTTACTTGTGTGAAAGTCTTAAGTTTTACTTTAAAGCACCTTCTTTTCCCCTAGTTTTTAGCCTCGGGCAGAGCCTACTGAAGTCAGCGGATAGGCTGCCAGCGGCATCCTTATCTGTAAATCGCAATTAGAGTGCTGGAACTTGTGCAAAATAAACTCGGCTTTATCTGCCTGGCTGAGTATCTACTGATGAATTCTGTGTGTTGTGCACTGTGGTTTGAATGCTGCAATGAAGTCAACCTCGAGCAAAATAGCTTTTTTTTTTTTTTTTTTTTTTTTTTTTTTTTTTTTTTTTTTTTTCCATCTATTGTATGGATTATGATATCTCTCATATTTTCTCAACCAAAGCACTTCATTTAAAGCAGTTGTGAATATAGGTTGAAACCAAGACCTTGCCTCTGCTTAGGTAAAGCCTGAATTTGATAAGCAGTGACCAGCAGTTGCTGTATCTGTTTCTTGCTGTTATCCTTCAGTGTGGGCAAAGGCATGCAGGCGTTGGAAATAATTCAGCTGACTGAGTATTACACTGCTTAAGCAGTTTGAAGAATTTGCTTCCATAAATTTCAATCTGTTCTGGCTCCTGGTTTTATCTCCATCAGATATAAATTATCACACTGTCAGCCTCTGGATAGCACTGGAATGCTGCTGCCTGATTTATTTATTTTATTTTATTACCATAGCAAAGAAATCCCACTTGACTGTTTTTAAAGCTGTGTGTCTCTTAGCAGGGTAAGAATCAATCTCTCTTTTAATAAATGTATATTTCTCCCTGATGTTGCTGAGATTTCCAATGGCAGAGCTGTCAGTCTTTGGTGACCTCTGAAGGCTCGAGGAGGAGTTCCCTGGTAAAACACTGCTCTTTCCCACCTCCGCAGCTCCTGTGGTTGCTGGGGATTTATTCCTCAGAGGTAGCCAGGGGTGGCAGTTACGCTGTGTAAATAATAAATTAGCTGCAATGCTTCCCGCATTCGTGAGTACCTCCAAATTAATATTTTGGCAAGTGTTCTGAAACAGGAGCTTCCTGTAAGTCACAGACCTGCACTCAGGGTGATGTGCATTAGTCCCTGAAGCCCAGGTCTGGCAGTGAATTTACAGAGGGGTGTCCACAACGGCCAATTTGAACCCGGTAAGTTGGTTCCCAATACCCATTTCCTATGGAAAAGGGTTTCGATTTGGATTCACCTAAATTCCTCTACAGATCTGGCCGTGTCATGTTAGTTTTGGAAGGCACTGTTTTATTTTTCCCAAGCCGTATCTTAATTCTTAAAGAGATATAAATCCTGTCACTTACAGTCAGTGCCAAGCATCCCTGTTTTTTCTGTGTGTGCTTTACTTATGAGAAACGCGTTTGGGGGAAAAGACTCAAAACTAAGAGTAGGGTTGGAGAGATTTTGAATGTGGGCTTTGCATGTGAAATGCTGAACCCCCCAAGGCATCGAGGTCGCCGGTGGCCGGCGTGGAGGTGGCCGGTGTGGCTTGCCTGCAGGTCAGGCCAGCAGCTCCCTTGCGAGCATAGGAGCTGTGATTTGTGTGCCCGTGGCTCCATCTCCTACCGTCAGATGGGAAATCAGAAGCAAAAGGAGCAAAAAAATAAACATGAATATTAACAAAAGGGGAGCGGAGGTGAAACGCTTGGCGACTGCTGTCTTTCCAGGGGTTGTTATGTATGCATGTTCAGACTGATTTGCTCTACAAGGGTAAAGACTCTTTTGGTTTCAATTACCGTGCAATGGCTCAAAGCTTTCCTAATGAGAATTGAGGTCAGAAAATTGCTTGCTTGGTTTCAATGTAAAGCTTTGTATTCAAGACGTATTGCTTTTTCCCTTTTCCCTGCTAAATGTAAGAGTTTTACTTAGGTACGAACTGCAGCCTGGGGGAAGTGGGTGCTGGTGAACTGCTCCCAAGCAGAGCCCTCTGGGTGATGCTCGGAGCTGCCCAAGTTGGCTCTGGCAGCAATGGCATCCTACTCCCTGGCAGATGGACCTGTGCCATGCTGCAGAGGCTTGGAGGAGGTGACACGCAGAGAGCGAGGAGCTGGGGGAGAGTTAAGCAGGTCCTAGAATTTCCCTCTTCAATACAATAAAACACATGTGTCCAGACGTAGAAACACCCCGACGTATTAAAATTCTTCACACGCAACTTGTGTTGAAAACCCACTTGAATGGAAGACGCTCACTCCTTAATGCAGAAAACGCTCTTATCATAGGACTGGTTTCCACAGGCAGGGCTTACCCTGGTGAGGAGCTCCGCTGCGCAGGAGCGCCTGACTCTGTGTGTTACGGTTGCTTCCTCATCTTGGCACAAAGCTTTTGTTCCTCAGCCTGATGTTGCACCATCAAATCTTTGGATAAGATCATGGAGCGGATCATCCTGAAAGATATGTCAAAACATACTGAAGACGGGGAGGTGGTTGGGGACAGCCAACGTGCCTTCACCAGGGGCAAGTTGTGCCTGACCAGTCTAATGGCCTTGTACGATGGAGTGACTGCATCAATGGACAAGGGAGGTGCTACGGATGTCATCTGCATTGACTTCTGTAGGTCCCTTGACATGGTTCCCCACAGCATTCTTACATGTAGGTTGGAGAGATATAGGTTTGGATGGGTGGACCGTTAGATGGATAAGGAGTTGGCTGGATGGCTGCATTCAAAGAGTTATAGGCAATGGCTCAATGTCCAAGTGGAAACCAATAATGAGTGGTGTCCTGCAAGGGTCTGTACTGGGAAAAATAGTATTAACTCGGAGCAGCCTGATCCAGTGGAGGGTGTACCTTGGCAGGGGAGTTGGATGAGGTGGTCTTTAAAGGCCCCTTCCAACCCAAACCATTCTATAACAAACGCACTATGGTTTTACAGCACTGGAGTTCATCTGGGGGGGGGGACTCCCTGTGTGGTGTGCTTGTCCCACTGCACCAACCCAGAGCGTACAGAGGATGGAGCAATCCGGTGGTGGCTGGGTATGAAGAAGACTGTGTGCTTACATGTAGTGTTAGAGATGCCTCTGCTTTAGATAAATCCTGAAAAGTAAAAAATGGGGAAATAGAAAGATTTCCTGTATTAATTATTTTTTTTTCCCAGTTCATTAGGGACTTTGTGCAGCACGTGAAAGTTTCACTGTTGGAGTGGAAACTCTCAGTGTAGGTGGCTGCAGGACCAGATGTCAGCTGTGTTTCCCCATGATGGTCCCGAGGCTGCTGCCTCAGAGAGAACCCACTGCTTGTCTCTCATTTTGTGCACATATACAGAGCAGGAGCGTATGTAAGAATTTCTGCAAGATGCTTTCTTGGGCAAAAAAAAATCATATGTTTAAGAAAGCCAAGCTGTAAAGAAAAATAGAAAATAATAGTAATAATAAAAAAAAAAAAAAAAAAAAAAAAAGAAAGAAGCAGTTCAGACATGTAGAGATGGAATACCTATAAAGTCAGCCACCGTGGAAATTAATTCACTCAGAGCTTTAAATATGAGTCATAGTCACTTTGTAAGCCTGTATTTTAAATTACAGCTTACCGAGCCTGTGCCTGGCCCCGCTACTTCTAAATTAACGATGTAATGTAGCATGTTTTTATGGGCATACCTCTTGTGAGCCCTCTGCATGATGCTGATTGCGTTTAGCTAAAGGGGAGCTTATGAACTGACCTTTCTGAAGGAGGTCTTTGCTGAGGCGTACTCGTTCTTTCCTGTTGAGGTGGAGTTTGTTTTACTTGTGCCACGTATTGCTGCTCCAAACATAAAACCTTTGGAGTTACTTAACCCTGCTGAAGAATAAAGTGCAATTAAGTGTTGCTTGAGGCTCACAACTAAAGAGTAGGCTCAGTTCTCTAAAATACAAGTTTTTCTGCAGCATGGCATGTATGATATTCTGGTCTGATGTTGCATGTCTACAGTTTAGGTGTTTCTGAGCCTGTTCTTCAGTCTTCCTTTGCAGATCATGGAGAGACATGGACGTCTCCAGTGTGTGACTCATCTTACTTATTTTAGTCGTCTACTCCATAGCGAGATGAATCATACTCTTACAAGACTCTGTCTCTTCTGTACTGTCAATATCTCAGCTCCCCAGCCCACCTGCAGGAGTTTGGTCCCTGGCTGTCCGCACGGCAGGAGTGTTTCTTCACTCCCAGCTCTCCCTTGGAGTCGACCAGCTAATTGCCTCTGAAGCTAAATGTGGGCGTTCAGGAGGGATCGTTCACTGCCGGAGCCGCTCCGTGTCGTCAGCCGGAGAAGCAGTGTGCCAGGTTTGGCCGCCTCCACCCTCAGCAGCCCTCCCACTCATCTCAGCAGGCTTTGCACTGCTTGCGTGTCCCTCGTGAGGCACGTCCCATAAAGCCTCGGGTGGGCTGCAACACGCTGCTTTCACTGTTTAAGGTACTTTTGAATTGGAGGAAAAAAACCAAAACAACAAGACCACAACAAAGTAATTTGCTTAAGGCCACAGGTGCTCCAGAGGGAGCCCAATTAAATTATTTCCAGGCCCTGTAAATCGTATCTAGGGACAATCTACTCTTGAGCCTTCAATAATGCAATCCAGTAAATACACGTTTGCCTTGTAGATGTCTGAAATTTTGCAATTTGAATCCCAACCGTTGCATTTTAAAATGATAACACCCCTACAAAATTTCATCCACGAGCAAGCTCTCTTCTGCTCTACTCTTCCAAAAGGGGTGAGCGTGGCGATACATGGAGTACAGCCAGAATGGTTGGAGGTGAAGATGTCTATGTCATTTGTTTCTATGGCTAGAAAATATTTATGGTTGTTGATGGAGTTTATTGCCACAAGTGCTTTCCACTCACATTTGGTCCTGCCTCAAATGTAAAAAATGGTTGTTGCACAGTTTAATCAGAGGATTTTATATTTTTCCCTTGATTAAGACATCTATATATATATTGACAAGTCTTTTGTTTCTTCGTTGGAAGCAACGGACTACTTGGCAGAGCAGTCAGATTCCCAAATTTTTATTTATAAATACGGCTAATATGCTTCTGTATTTTAATAGGCTGCTAAAAGGAGGGGAAAAAACAGTTACTGAGTTAAAAAAGATAGAAAACTTAGTAATTCCTTTTCAAATACAAGCAAGAAGGAGAGGGAGGGGTCAGGCTGTTTGAATTACTGCAGTAAAACTAGGATCGATCTGGAAAGAATGTAATGATTTATGTGTTCCAGTTTATGCTAGGAAAACCAGAATGCTTGCAAACCTACAATTTTACACCTGCTGGTTTGTGAGCCCCTTGCACATGTTGATTTAAACTTTATATTATTATTTCAGATTTTTAGGACAAATGATACCATACATATACTGCACATTATTACAGGATTATCAGAAGCCTATCGTAGATGGCTGATGAGGGAGAAAAATCTAGAAAGAAGTGATCTCCAGAGAGAAGTCACTGCAGATTAGTGTCAGATTAGTCTAAAGGAAACATCAGTCCTTATCCTTAAGTATGGAATACCTGGAAAAACAATCAGACCTTCAAATACATCCTAGTTTTTCTAACAAAGCAATGGCATTGCCTTAACATTTGCTTTGCTCTGTGGTTATCTCATGTGGTGAAAATTTGACATCCATCACACTCCTGGGGTAGCTGAAGTCAGTGTTTGACCAGTGCCCGTGATAAAGTCGTGCTGAAGCCTGGTTTTTCTTATAACGCTCTTTTCATTAATGTGTCTGTAAGTGAAACAGCGTAAGGGATACTTCAAGATATTCAGTGTGATTTTTTTTTATTTTAAGTGGCATTGTAACTTTCCAGGTACCTCTTTTTATTGTGAACTCGGGATATATTGGTGTTTGGGAAGCATAGCCATGGTGTCTCATTGGATGAGTCCTTACTACAGGGAGGTGGCACGGTGCTGGTGATAGCCAGAGATGCAGGATGCTTGAACTGGTTTTCTGGCTTCTCATGGGCCACCTTGGGGAGGTCTGTCAGAATGGAAACACCATGAAACAGACTGAAAGTTACCTGAAGAACTGAAAAAAGGCTACTGATGTAATAGGGAATGGCTCCTTCCAGAGGATGTTTTGAGTCCTAAACATACCCATACTGTATCACCAGCATCAGTGAGTTACCCGCTGGGAGGAGGTACCTGATCCAAGAGATGTACTGGATTTTCACCCCCACATTGATCGTGAATCTCATTGTAGTGGAGCTATTGAAGTGCCCCGTAGGGGTGTTTAGTTAGTTAGCAACAGGCCTCTCTAATGTATTCGTTAGTGAATGGAAATGGGCTGCTGCTTAGGAAGGAGCCTGTGTGGAGTTCGAGAAGCTATGAAAGCATTGCTGTCCCACAGGAGCTCAGGGCTGATCTCTGTCACAAAAGTAGCATTTACGTAGTGCTCCTAAATTGAAAAAAAATGTATAAAAGATTGATCTCTTTCTGGTCGTGTTGGTTTGGGTTTTGGATTTGGTTTGTGGTTTGTTCTTTTCTTTAGTGAAACTGCATTATTAAGTCACTGGGGTTTTTATCTTCATTTTCGGGTGTTTATTGGTGCATTTTTGGAGTCAGTGGGAAGGCAGTTTGTCATCCTTAAGATTTTAAGGACCTGAGAGTAAGCCACAGCGGCTCTCGGATTTTGCACTCTGCTGAAAAAGAACCTCATTCACGTGGTTAATTATAGGGATTTTTTTTTTTCTTTCTCTTCCCTGTCAACTCTGTGCAGGGGGAATTCTTGCTGAATAGTGCCACAATGGCCACCCTGCCATTCCCCTACTTAATGAGCTACTTCTCACACAAATAGATTTCAGAATAACTGGGCACAGATGTTTAGGTGTCTGGTGGTGGTTTTTTGATTTTTTTTTTTTTGCCTGAAAATGATTGTCAGTCTTCATTTTCATTTCAGCTTTCAAGCCTGTTGAAACGGCAGCATTCCTGTCATTGCAAACGTTACTCAGCCATGTGAACTGTGACTCATTCTGAAAGATTACAGGCATTTCCCTCCCCGGCGTGCACCTATCCTCCTGCTGGGAGAAGTTTGCAGGCTGCCTCCTGCCATCAGAGGGCCAGGGGTAGGTGCTCGCCCGCTTCCAGCCCTTTGCTGGACAGGGGACAGGAGCCCACATCTGCTGCGGGCAGCACGTCTCAGGGTGGGAAATGTCACTTTTCTCAGCTTCTGGGGAAACAAACAAAAAAATCTCAGATGTCATTTTCATCATCCCTTTACAGTAAAAAAAAAAAAAAAACACCCAATGAGCAAACCTTAAAGGAACAATAAACCTCGTACAGACCTCCTGGCTCATGTTCACTCCAGACTTATGTTTACTTAAGCTGCAAAAAATATCGGTTCATGATACCAGCTCAAGGCAAACTCCATCTAGTCTGGAGATCCCCTTTAATGATCTTTCTCTTTTTCTTTCCTGCATTCCTCTCTGGCGTCAGAGGATCCCCGCTGTCACCGTTCTGCTCTTCTCCTGGCGCCGCAGACCAGTGCTGTCGGGGGGCTCAGCACCTCCCCTCTCTCATCTGCCTCCATCCTCTCCGGTTAATTGCTATTTTCTATATGTTTTCCGTGGCTTCATTTGAAGTAAGGTCCTGTGGGAATCCCAAATGGGGTTTCTGTTTAGTATTTTATTGAATATCAACATGAACCTATCGGGGGGGAAAAAAAAACCCCATCCTGTTCATTATGGAAGCTCAGTTAATTGAGGATGATTAAAGGGAAGCTTGATACTACCTGCCCAGCCATAGACATGAGTTATGGCGCCTGAAGATGAAAAGCCACGAGGAATCAATCTTAATTTAGTACAACTTAACACCATGCATGTATTTTTGTCTACTTGAGGGCAAGAGATAACACGTCTAAACTTCCCAGCGTGACAAAAACAGGCAGAATTTGGAGAAGGTGGCGCAGATGGGAGCACAGAGCCCCATTGCTCTGCAAGCACATGTCTGAAAGACTTCTTCTGTCCCACTCTGTCTATGTGGGAAGTGTTGTTGGAAAAGCTGACAGGATCCCCGAGGTTCAGAGCTGAGGGGCCTCGCGGGGAGTGCAGAAAGCATCCACCAAAGCTGCTTCCCTGGGGCTATGAAAAAGAGGGGTTGTAGGGCTACCAGCAGCTACCCGGGGCTACCACACGGGTGTTTTTTCAGGAAAACAAAGAATTGTGGTGTATCTCATCAAGCAAGCGTGGGAAAGGAAGAGGGCTTTTCTCAAAGACTGCAAAATGGTTGCCTTTCTATCAAATCTAGATGTAAAAAAAAAAGAAAGAGGTTGTTTGCAAAGATTTCCTTTGGTGATTAGTGTTTGCAATCCAAGTTCTTGTTTCAGTGGACATTCAAGCTGAGATACATGATAGATATAAAATTAAAGTTATTTCACTGTTTTCAGATGTTTTGATGGAGGATTTAGTTATTCAGATGTTGGTTTTCTTTATGCGCTTCTACAAGCCAGGGCTTACTTGGGTGTCCTAGAATAACTATGTTGACACATGTATCTTGGATGAAGATCCTTTTCTTTCTGAGTTACCTACATCTGCTTTCAAAGCTGATCATGATAAATCATAGTTAGATGATCTTTCACTGTAGTTAAAATCCTACTTAATTCTGAAATGACTTTCATGTGTAGACAAGCCCTTAGGAAACACTCTTTGTTTGAAACTAAATCTCCTTAAATTTTTAGCCTGTGCATTTTATGCTTATACCAAGAAATAAATCCATTTCCTTTAAGGTGTTCTTTATTTTGCTTTACTTTGCAGACTGTAAGATGGCACATTGAACTACAGCCATGGGCGAGTCCAACTCCTTCCCTCAACTACGAGGCCTTGAGGTTCCTGAAGTACATTAGCACTTCTCAGGTAGGTTTTTCATTTCAGTCTCCATTTAGAAAACAGTTTGCCTGGCACAGGCTGTTCCCTCGCAGTTCAGGAATTAACCTCACACCAAACTGTTTTCGAAACTGCTTTATTTCTGAAGTTGCTTAACCTGGCAGTGATGGTCAACAACATGAATGTAGGGGTAAAAACACAGGGTAGAAAGAACGCATTATTTCTTTGCTTTTTATTTCCAGATGGCTTTGTATCCTGACAGGGGTACAAATATGACTGAAATTCAGGACGTGGTTCCTCTCTTGCTCTCTCTTTCTCACTCTGCCTCAGACACATAAAAATATAGAGCACTCTGTAGCGAGAGAACTGTGTATTCAACCACTTCAATAATAATGCGATAACCAGGCTCATTTTAGCCAAAAAAGGGTGCATTTGAGGTTCTGAGTAAAATGACAACAAGGCATCAGTCCCAAACCTGGACAAGTTGTCCCAGTGGTACCAGTAGAATCCTGATAGTTTAAGGACAGAATGATGACCTGGAAAATTAATGTTTTTATGTGCTTTTTCAAAGGTGACATTTCCAAATCCAGTTTGTGTTGACGGATGCTTCCAGGGTTCAGCATATATGGAAATTGGGCCATCGTGTCTTAATGGAGGCATCACTTCTGCACAACAGCATCTACACACGTGTTTCCTCTAATAAAAAAATGGAAAAGGTGCTGGATGCCCACAGTTCTGACAGGGCAGCTGCGTTCAGTACCCGGGTCTATCAGCAGTTGACCCTTGGGTACATATTTCACTGCGCCATCGCTTACACTGGAGAACAGCAAAAAGCCCCAGGTGCTAATGTCACTGAAATGTCACTCACATACAAAATTCTATGTTAATGCAATGCTTTCAAGGCGGAGATGAGATTCATTTGAAACACGTCTAAAAATACATCGCTGTGCTGGTGGGGTGGTAACTGGGAGGGTAGCAGAGTGTTAACTTATCCTCCAGTTTGTGGGTACCCCCGGCTAAGAGCTCAAGCAAATGATACCTCTGCCTCCACTCATGCCAGCACCGAGAGGGCAGGAGGCAAGATGATGCATGTGGAGACAGCAAGAGATGTCTCTCTCATGTTGTACAGAAGTTTAAGCTGCGGCAGGCATGTTAAGCTGAAAACATCCTTCATCTCCGTGACTTAATAAACAGTGGCAGATGCTGCTAAACTCCACTAGTTGGGTCAAAGCCTACAAGGACATCAATTAGCAGAGAGTTTATTGCTTCTGACACACTAATCGAGAAGTTTCGTTCCCAGAGTAACTGACCCTGGTGGGGGGAACAAGCATAAGTGAAAACAAAAAAAAGAGAGAAATCCTTGCTCCTGACCTGGCAGGTGTTATAGGATTAATAACTGACAGAATAACACCATGACTGGTATGAGCACTTCTGGAAATGGGATCTTGCTTACGTAAATGAGCATGGGATCTCATTTTTTTTTTGTTTACTCAGTAAGTGTCTACTAATTACTATGCCTGAGTTCAGCTCCTTACCATTACTGAAGAGTGGCTTGAACTGCTGGAGGGCGAAGATGCCACGTTAGCAGGGTCGAGTTATGGCCAGAAAGTGCTTTTTCAATGCTGGTGTCTAATGATCAGAAGAAGCATCTTACATGTGCTCTCATTTGTGTGACAGTAGTGAGCAGAAGCTCAGAACAGGATGTGAACCCAGTGCTTCAGGGTCTGTAAATCACACAACAGACTGGTGATGGTGCTAAAGGCAGAATTCAGTTGGGTTCCTTTTATTTTTGATAGCAAGAGCTATTAAGTAGCGAGAGCTATTAAAATTGCTCCAAATTCTAAGTGTTGTAATTGCTCATAATGCCATGAGTCGATTAAGTGGCAGCATTTCAGAATCTTAGTTTTCTGTAGAGAGCACATTATTCTTCTGTGTCTTAAAATTAGTACTTGTTATTACAATGCCATTTATTCCTTGATTGTTATGTGACTGAAGGGAAATGGGGTAGTGGGGTGCAGTGCAAATAATTGCTTAAAACTTAGTGAATCCTGAGAGCAGCATGAAGAGATGCTGTATTAGCTTTTATGAATTTTCCATGGAAATTATGAGTGGAGCAGGAGCAGGGAGGTGGTGATGCAGCAGGCAGCTCTTTGGATGTAATGCTCCAGGTAATGATCTTTCAGAGCTTCAGGTTCTTAAAGAATGGTAATTTTATTTACTTATTATAAGGCTCATGATGGAGAGTGCCTGCCACAGCAAAGGCCAGGTTCCTGTTTTTACTCTCACCCCTGTCTAAAATTGTTCAATTTCTGTGGTTCTAGGTGGGGCCAGATCTGTGCTTTCTAGTTTGGCTAAAACTGAGAGCTGAGCCTGGGCTGTAGGGAAAGGAAGAGGCAAGATGAGAGCAGTCAGTTGAGGACTGATGCTTAAACTGATTTTGTCTCTACTACTCTTCTCTCCACCTTTTTTATTGTTGGCTTTGTGGCAGTGCCAGCCCCCATCCCTGCAGCCAGGGTTGGTGCTGGGCCCAAAGGACAACTTTTTGTTGTGACAGCTCAGCTGGGTTCCTGCAGCTCTTCTCAGTCTTTGCTTTCCTCGCTGCTTGTAGCAGCCTGTGCCCTGCAACCCCTGAATTTCATGGCTGGGCTACACGTGGATGGAAAAGCCCTTCAACAACCAACCGTGAGCTGATGCTGGTGCTCCCAGATGCTGGAAAGGCAGCAGCAGCACCTCTCAGCTCCATGCCTGCCTTTCCCAGAGTGGGTCTGGAGGAAGAGGATGGTGCTGAACGGTGTGGCAGAGCCTGGGGATGAAGCGCTAGCCCGAGCTGCTGGGCAGACAGGCAGAGCTGGTGCTGCAGGCAGGGGCTCCTCCGAAGGGTGACAACTCACAGGGCCACCCTACTCATGGCCATGGTGGCTCCGTCACCGCTGTGTTGTGGCTGTTGCAAGCTGCTGGCAAAGTTGACTTCACCTCTCAAGTGATTTTTGACACTTCCAGGTTTCTGATGCATCCAGCACGTTTTAGTCCTTGCTTTCTTGGTCTTTACAAGGACTTTGACTTAGAGGGTTCGTCCCTGCAGGGTCTCCGTCTCTTCTCCTTTTGCAGTGGTTTTATCCTGGCTTTAGACTCCAGCTGTCTAAGCCAGCACAGCATAGGCACATGTGCTACGATTCCTCTGTTTAGTTAAGCACTTGCTTAAATCCCTTTGTTGTTGGAGAGGGGATGTGTTGGGATAATGACTAAATCCCTTCTGGAACAGAGATCCAGGACACTCTCGGTAAGGTACACAGGGTACACTGCGGTGACACTGCAACTTGTGATTTCAGGCTTGAATCATGACATGATTTTAACATTATTCAGGATGCAGATTCCACTCCAAGGTTTGAAAAAGGAAAAAAGGTAAACATTTTAATGCCAAAAGAACTTGTTCTCAGGAAAATTGATTTTGGGGTATAGTACTAATGCTTAATTATTTGCTTTTCAAACTGCATTGTTCTCTGGGGGCTTATGTAAGACTTAAATTTCACCAAGTAGAACACATGAACAAGGAAAAATATCATCAAATCTCCATAGCTGTGTATCAGATTGACATTCAGATTTAAATGAAACCAATTAACATTTTTCTTCTTTCCACTCTTTCCCCAGAAGGCAAATTAAAAACGGATTAAAAGTTATGTCTTAAAATGAAGCATCCTTTGATTTCAACAGATTTCATGTGAACACATGAACCTGAACAGCCTGAGAGGGCACCCTGAAACTGCAAAGAAGCCCTGGTCGATCTGTCTTGATGAGAGGTTTAGCCTTATTCATCGCATCAGGAGCAAGCAGTGCCGCCTCTATTCCCTTGGGTAAGCTCTTTAAAGACAGCAAATTGTTTCATGACACCTCGCTTCAAAAAGCCCTATAAACGCAGCACAGGCTGCAACAACGTTGGATTTTAAAATACAGACTTTGTTGGGGTGTGTTTGTTAGGTGTTGATGTGCTTCTCTAAACTCTGTTTTTAGGGAAAAACCTTTCACAATAAGGGTCATTGTTTTCCTTCGCTTTTCTACTGTCGGTATGAAAACAAATTGCTTAGTGGCGAGTAGTGAGTGGTAGTTCACATAGAGGAAATTAATGAGATAGACTGAGAAGCCAACAGCATCTTCCCTGAGCAGAAATGAATGCATAATTGCCAGATACTACAGCAGCATCGCTTACAAAATTTCATTAACTACCCCTGGGACAAAATAGAACATTTCCATATGAGAGTGTGTTTGCTACGCACTTCGGGGATAACATGTGGCAAAGTGATAATAATAATAAAAGCCAGTTTTGGCTTTATTTTAAAATGTTTGTAGTGTTTATGATGTTTACAGCACTTGAGATTGAAGTTTTCGCTCTTCACAGAACAAGTGCTTTCACAAGTAGTAAACCCACAAATGCAGCCCGTTTCCCTGCTAGTAAAACACTCTGCTTCCCAGGAGGAGGAGGAGGAGGGAGGTCAGCCCTCAGAGTTGGCGGGCCCCTGGCCTTTTGCATTACCCATCAGGTGCATGAGGAGAATGATTGCTGGGATCTGGAGCCCGTTTGACACAGATCTCCACAGGCTGCAGCCTCATAAAACTCCCTTTGCTGTCCTGGGAGCCAGCTCTAGGTTAGAGGTGTATTGAAAGGCTTCATCTCTTGTGAAGCCGTGCAGTTGGTTTCTGTGATTTTGCTGCTGTGGGTTTACAAATGGGGGACAGCAAGGAGCTGTGTCTGTGGAGTGGGACATTTCTCAGTGATTAGCATATGGCAGTCAACACCAGCAATTAACATCAAGTGGATGCTGCAGTCAAAGGGACTGTTTCCTGTTAATTTGGGTGGGCTTATATTTGGATTGAGTTTATATTGAGCTGTAAAGACCAAACTCCTCAGAGGGTGAGGGGTTCTCAGGGTTTGTTCAGTTGTGTTGCTTTGTGGCAGAAGAACAATAACACACTCCTTAGAGAAAAATCACATTAATGGAGGGCAAACTCCTCTCAACTACTGTTGCTTCTTATTTTTTTAATGTTCTTTACAATCTATTTCAAATTATACTTACCTGGTTTTAATGCAAAATACATGATATTTTTTTTTCCTCAGTTTTTCACATTCCTGTGCAAGTTAGGAGAGAGAGTGTGTTATGCCGTGTTCAGCTCCAGACTTCACCTGCTTGACTGCAGTAGTGCTGGCTCATTGCTCCTTCCAGCAGTCAGTAAGGAGAGGCAGGCACATTTGGGTGGAAAATCAGCTAAGCTAAATAACGTTCTGGAGGTTGGTTTTGCTTTCCTTTGATTACAGAGGAAGTCTGGGATATCGTGGCTTCTGACTTTAGATGTCTTGACAAAGTACTCAAAGTCCAGTGGAATTGATCTACACCTTGCAGTTCAAGTTACATGAATGTTAATATTAGACCTGAACCCCTACATTAATGTCCCTCTTCCCTTTTGCTGTGGACCAAGCGTGGGTTTAGAACAGTAATTTTGTTTAATTGGCCAGTAGACACAATGCAGAGTTGATTTCATCTGTGCTAGGAAATGCAGATTTGGCAGAAAGCTGACCAGCACAGAGATAACTTGGTAATGGTTTTGAACAAATCCGAGCAAGTGCATGTGTACTAGTGCTTTATGTGTGGTGCCATTCTGGGTATGGTACAGGGAGCCTGAATGCCAGATGTGCTGTACTCATGGAACAGTAGGGCTTAGCAGAGATAGAAATTGACGTTGGCTCACCCATCAGTGGTCAGATACACGTGCAGTAAATACCCAACCATCACATGAAACAGCTAAAAAATAAAAGGGAAATACTTTAGGTTAAGGAGCAGCAGTCTTCAGTCCTCCAGTTTACTTCTGCAGCCTTTGGAGCTCATTACTACATAACCCTTCTCTCAGACTCACTTCCTTTAGCTTATGACAGGCAGAAAAGTAATTTTGTTCTGAGTAAGACAAAAATCCTCTTTAAACATTTCTGTTATCTCATGCAGTTCGTAAAGAGCAAAGGGGGAGCAGCTGCTTCCAATGAAGAACATTCTCTGTGGAGACGATGGATGGAGGACAAATGTGAAAGTTCAGTGCGAGCGTTACTGGGAATCCTGAATTAAATCCATGTATCATTAAAAATGGAACAGAACATGCTGCTTAGGCATTGCCTTCCTGAATGCTGTAGAAGAGGTTACTTGAGAATGGGAGCGAGCAGTGTCTGAAATGTCTGGAGATCTTTTTAGATTAGTATTAGTTGCTTCTCCTACTGGGAGGCAGCAGTGTTTTTGCTTGGGGGACAGGATTTCCCCATATGATACATAATTGCAATATGCATTAGTGAGCTTCAGTTATTAGTGCTAAATCTGCTTAGATTAAGCTAAGTCTGTTACAAACACCACAGGCGGGCACTCGGGCTGGGATAATATAAATGAATAGGATTTCAGAAATTTACCAGTTGAGGTTTAAAGAGTCTCGCTGCAATACTAAATAAAAGCCCTGTCAGGTGGGTCTCAGTGTAGGAGTTTTAGGATCCAGGCAGGGGCCGCTTCTTTTTTTCCCCGAGCTGCAGAGCTCCGTTACCTTCCTTTGAGAAAGAAGGGGAGGAGGGGGAAGGCAGGAAGGGGAAGCTGGACCTTCACCTGTGTGTTCTCACAGCTCTGTCCTGTGGTCCCTGTGGGGGGAACAGCTACAGGTGTGTGCTGGAGGACACAAAGCAGCTTTTGTGCCTCCTGGGCGCTCGCGGGACGTGGGGGCTGACGCGATGCTCCCTTCAGGGCAAGCTGCAGAAGCTGCAGCCCCCCCATTTATCCCCAGTGTCAGTCTTTGTGTACCGTGACCCTGCGGGGACCCTGGGAGCAGGGGACAGCCAAGGGACAGGGCTCCCCGTGGCGCTGGGCTGTGTCCTGGGTCAGCGTCCCTGCCCCGCTGCCCGTGGGGAGCAGTGACAGCCGGCCCTGCCCTTCAATGGCAGGCAGGCGAGGAGAGGCCCTCCCCAGGGTCGGGGTCCTGCACCCGCTGCTTTGGAAGCCCACCTCTGCCCCCGCTGCAGGGGGCTGCCTGCCACTGACGGCTCTGTCACCGAGCTCTCTTCTCCTCCACGGCAAAAATAGGTCGGGCTCTTCAGCATTTTTTATTTTGCTGTTGCTGGAGGCGGCAGCTGCTCGCGGCTGGTGGTGGGGAAGGGCTTCTCCAGTCTTGTGTGACCTCCGCACCTTTCTTCTACAGTCACGGTCCCTTTTTAAGTAGCGCAAAATTGTTCTTAGGAGACCTCATTTGTTCACCTTTTTCATGCTGTGCTGTCCCTTGGTGTGATCACTTGTGAAGCGGGAATTTTTGAAACTAGGTCTTTTGGAAATGGCCTTATTTTCTCTCCTAAATATTTGTTGATTAGATCTCTCTTCAAGGCATGAATTTGAGCTGTTATCCAGAGTGCCAGAAGATATATCAGCAACTTCTTTACGTTCATCCATCTTACTTTTTTATCTGTTTTGCACTGCTGTGAACCCCCCTTTGCAGTCCACGAGTAGCAATCTGTTTGGAGGCAGCCTGAGGTTTGTCTACATCAACAGCATCTGGCCCCATGGATTGTACCAGCTGGGGCTGTTAGAAGTGTGTCATGGGCGCGTGTGTCCATCAGTTGCTGGTAGGCTCATCCCTTTAATGCTGTAACTGTCCCCAACAATTCATATGCTGTTCATTTTTAGCCAGTTTCTCATTCCTAAGGGATTACACTGGTCTTTGTTCATCAGTGTCCCTTCTGTAGAAAGCCACATGCAAACAAATATGTCGATTCACTTGGTTAACTTCTGAACTTTCTTCCTAATGTGTGTTGAATGTATTAAAAGAAAACTCCTCTCTTTTCCCCCCACACGGCTGTACGGGCTGGAATCCTGTGGAATAGAGTTGTTCTTAAAGGCACGCTGGACTGTTTTTGCAAACCCTGTCTGCACCTACTTTCCCAGGACGCCCGAAGGGGAAGATGGTTGAGGAGAAGACCTTCTAATAGGGCATCGTTACGCTGTTCTTAGCCAGTATTTCAGCAAGCGTCATACCATGTTGGTAGCTTCCAAAACGTATGCTCTGCCACACGTTGTTTCACAAGTTGGATTCATTCTAGTTTACCAGGATGTCACCTGTGTAAAACAAAGTGCTGGCTTAATGTTGTGCCGTAGTTTAGCATGATTTAAAATGTATGGCATTTTACGTATTGATGTAGGTGCTGTGACAGTCCAGCTGAGAGTACTGCCCTGGGATGGTTTGGGTATGATGGATAAATGCCATGCTGTGTCAGTACATAGTGGATATTCTCAATTAGTACAACTGGTCGAAGCGCTGATTTAAAAAACTTGATTCTCTTCCCAGCGCTATGTTTGTCTATATCCAGCAGTGTAATTTTGATTAAGTTTAAGGTTTAGTGCATGATTTGAACCACATTTGAAACAAGCTTGGAGGAGCAGGAATGAAGAGGACATTCTGTTTTATGTAGTAGGGAAGGCCTGCAGTCCAGACGTGTGATTGCAATGGTAAATACCAGAATTTTTTAATTTTAATGTACCCTGTGTGAACCAATGGACTGTGGAAGGTGGGGATATGGCACTGCCTTGTAAAGTACATCTTCTCCTTGCACAAAAAGGGACTGAAGCAGCAGTGCTGTGTGATGGGGCTATTAAGTTTTCTTCTTTTGTGGGGTCTTTGCCAAATTAGCAGCAATCCTTCTCTTAAGTCATGTAAAAACTCTGCTACTGTTGTGAAGGGGTTATTTTAAAACTTGCTTTTTTATCTGTGGCTTCCTATGCGCTGAGAGAGAGAGAAAGGCGTTTAGTTCTTGCATCTTGTCCCTGTTGGTGGCCATTATGGCTCATCTCTGTAACACCAGATTATAGACACGGTGGGAAATATACCTGATTTTTACAAAACAGTTTGTATGCGTTTCAAATGTATTTGCTCTTCTGCTTATGGCTTGGGTATTGGAAGTTTTTGCAGTACTAAGTACAAGATTGCAATACTAAGGAAGGTATTGTAATCTTGTCAAGAAAAAGGAAATTGAAAATAGAGGAATATATATAAATACAAAATTTAAATAGAGAAATAATGGCAGCACAAAAGTGCTAAAGTTTGATTTACTTTCTTATAAATTATGTCGACTTCTGAATTAAGGAAAAACTCTTTGGGAAGGTTATCAGCCTGGGTAAAACTGATTTCGTTCTTGCCCTGAAAGGAGCCCTTCATTCTAATTGTATGCAATATATTGCATTGAGCTTGATTTTTCTGCTGAACTCCAGTAGTTTCATTCTATAAATGACAAAATTCATTAAAGGTTTATGAAGGTCAATTATGAATGTGACATTGGGAAAAAAACACATGTTCCTTTAAATTGCTTTTATCTAATTACTTATTCCAAATCTTAAGCAGGTATTTTGTGGACCCTTAGCTTTATTTCTAGTTATCTTGTCAGAAATAGGGTTAGACTGTGCTCAGTGCTGTAGATTTATACCAGGAAGGAGCATAACAGTTCTACCACTTCCATTATGTTCCAGAAATAAGTAGCTTGGATTTTACCTTCTTTTACTAGGGATCCTCAGAATGTCCTACACACTAATAGTTCTTTTTGCAGCATTAGTAGTTACATCTTTTTTGTTTTGTAGGCTAGGCAACGATGACAACCAGTTTGAGATCAGCATGGCCAACAGTGGATGTGAGGTGCATCGCTTCGACCCCAGCATCAAGTCAGCACACATTCATGAGGGTCAGCACCTCTGGTACCATCGCCTGTCCATTGACTGGAGGGATCCCAATCCAGCCATTGCTGCTCATAAACTTCACAGCAACACGAAGAAGCTGGGCACCATATTGAATGAATTTGGACATCAGAAGGTAAGGACACAGCTAAGAAGCTGGTGAGCAAGCCTGCTAGGGAAGGTACCCTGCTAGACCTGCTGTTTACAAACGGAGAAGGACTTGTGGGTGACGGGAAGGTTGGAAGCTGTCTTGGGCATAGTGATCACAAAATGATAGAGTTTTTGATTCTTGGAGAAGTAAGGAGAGGGGTTAGTAGAACTGTCACCTTGGACTTCCAGAGGGCAGACTTTGGGCTGTTTAGGAGGCTGGTTGACAGAGTCCCTTGGGAGGCAGTCCTGAAAGGCAGAGAAGTCCAGGAAGGCTGGACATTGTTCAAGAAGGAAAACTTTAAGGCACAGGAACAGGCTGTCCCCATGTGCTGTAAGACAGGCCATCAGGGAAGAAAACTGGCCTGTTTAAACTGAGACCTCTGGCTGGAGCTTGGGAAGAAAAAGAAAGTTTATGGAAGAAGGGGCACACAACTCAGGAAAACTACAATGATTGTGTGAGGCTCTGCAGGGAGAAAATTAGAAGGGCCAAAGCCCAACTGGAAATTAATCTGGCTACTTCTGTAAAAGTCAGTTAAAAATGTTTCTATAAATACACTAACAACAAAAGGAGGACTAAGGAGAATCTCCATCCTTTATTGGATGTGGGGGGAAACATAGTGACCAAGAATAAGGAAGAGGCTGAGGCACTTAATGCCTTCTTTGCCTCGGTCTTTAATAGTCAGAGCAGTTATCTGGGTACCCAGCCCCCCGAGCTGGATGGGGAGCCAAATGAACCCCCCCAATGTCCAAGAGAAAATGGTTAACTACCTACTACACCACTTAGACACACACAAGTCTTATTGCTCCCTACCTGAAAGGAGGTTGTAGTGAAGTGGGGGCTGATCTCTTTTCCCAAGTAACAGGCAACAGGACAAGAGAAGATAATCTTAAATTGCGCCAGGGGAGTTTTAGGATTGATTTATAAAAAATGCTTTCACCCAAAGGGTTGTCAAGCATTGGAACAGGCTGCCCTGGGAAGTGGTTGAGTCACCATCGCTGGGGGTATTTAAAAGACACGTAGACATGGTGCTGAGGGACATGGTTTAGTGATAACTTGGCAGTGTTTAGTTAATGGTTGGACTTGATGATCTTAAAGGTCTCTTCCAACCATAACGATTCTATGATTCTGGGACTGGTGTCAGGTTTCTGACTGTGGGATTAGGTGTTGGGAGAGCTGCAGAACTTCCTCCTTTATGTCTGGGGAGCTCAGGCACTTTCCAAGGTTATCTCCTGACAATGGGTCTTTTTTCAGAGGTACTTGTAATGCATTTCTTGTAGGGGTGCCTTGTCTGTTGCGATTTGCTGTGTGCTGATAACAGCCACTTTGATTTTAAATCACTAGCCATATACCAAATACTTTCCTCCTCCCCCTTTCCTTTTCCCTTCAACTTGTTGGTGACATTGAGTGCTAGTGTTTTCAGTCCAGTGGAAGGTCTGGACGTTGCCTGACTACAAGCACTAAAGTACTCATGCAGCCAAGTTTATAAAGAGAAAAAAATATTTGCAACAATAATTAGAAGAGGTAATGGATGGGTTGTTGACATTTTCAAGGTCAGTGGTCCTAATTACAGTCATCAACAACAAAAACATCCTGTTTTGAAATTGGCAGCAATCTGTGCGTTTTTTAGCATTTCCCAGTTTGTTTTTAAGGAACTGTAAAGACATCCGAAATCTTAAAGTCTTAAATAACTGTTGCCAAAATACATTTGAGGAAGTTCCTTAGGTTGCTTTCAAGAGACTTTTTCCCTCAGAGGATATACAAGCCTGAATTCAAACGCTAATATACTTCATTGCCTGCAGCTACTTTTGCTCATCTTTCTTTATCAAGAAGTGGGCAGCCTGAGCTAAGGAGGAGCTTTTCTGTAAGATTTACAAAGCAAGCAGTGCCATGTTTGTTTGGTTTGTTACTATAAAATGCAAGATGTGCTTTTCAGTTAATTTCTTGCTTTTCTTTAGTATTTTCTTTTGGTTCAGCTCTACTGATTGGACCATTTAGAAGATAAGAACAGAAAAAAGTAGCTTTTTTCTACTTCTTAGTCACACTGTAACTATACTAGGCTGTGCATTACTGAAACATCTGGGGAGAGAGATGGCTTTCCTTTGACGTGTGCCTTACATGGTTTGTTTTGATTTAAAAGGAATGAGTCACAGAGCAAATGATTAATGACCTGATCCAGAAAAAGTGTATGAGTCTTGTGATACACCAGACCTGCTGAGAACAGTCATTTCTCAGGTTATCGTGTAATGCAGAGTGATTGTAAGACCTTCTGTGAATCAGAAGGGTGTAGGTATGAATTCTGAGTATATAACTTTTTGGGCAAAAGCTATCTGACGTGAAAGCAGCCAGGTGGAGGGCGGCACATTCCTTTACCGGGTTTTCTCTTGGTCCTTTATATCTCCTTTCACCTCATTTAAATTCTTTCCACCAGGAGCAGTTCTTAAGATGCTGTTAAGAATAGGGGTGTTTCTAGGGAGCGACCTGAAGGTGCTGTTTAGTATGCAATTGTCAGGCATGGGGTGAAGATCTTTTTAATGACAACGTGGACTCAATGCGGTGCAATCCGTAGCCTTTTCTTCCCCTAGGAAAAGGGCTAGTGTGATGCCTGAATTGTAATGAAAGTATCTTGTTACTGAAACAGAACTTATGCAAGTCTTCTTTTTAAAAAAAAAAAAAAAAAAAGAACAAAACACTGTCAAAGCATATTATTGTCTGCTAACAACTAGAAAAGAAACAGGATTTTTTACGGTTTTATTTTACCTTTTTGTTGCTGCTGTTAGGGAAGACCCTTCAGAAAAATCAGGTATTAAAAATCTGTTCCCCCCCAGCTTTACTAGTGGGCTGCGCAAACTGTGTTCAATTCCCAGTACACTCCGGTGCACTGATGTCCCCCTCCACCTTCTTTTCAACAGCAGCAGCGTAACCACTATTTCAGTGTCAAACAGTTGCATTCAGAAGAGCACGGCACTCGCTGCAGGCACCCTGGAGTCATCATTGGTATGCTGCTGCTGTAAGAAGCCAGTCACTTCTGGTTCCCTCCTCCCAACGAAACCGGAGTTTGGCAGGAGCCCGGGGAACCAGCCCTGCTTCACAAGGTGGTACCAGACGCAGGGCACCTGCTGAGCTCAGACCTCTGTGCAGGCTCCCCAGCTCCTGCTTAAGCACAATAATGTTAATCTGTATGGTTTTAATTCGGCCAGGGTGCTGAACATCTGCTCAGGGTGGTGGTCCGTGGCACGATGCTGGTTTATGAGAATTGAGAGCCAACCCCCTTTCCATAAGCATCCTGGTCTTTCTCTGCTACCCATCTTTCTCACAATTTGCAGGTAGTAATTGACATTAACAAGTCATTTAGATAAATGCCCTATCCAGAACACTTAGGAGCTCAGTAAATTAGTGTAATTTTTTTTCCCTCCACGTTTGTCCCTGGTAGCTCATCCCTTCTCCAGTCACTGTTTACAAATTCTTGTCATTGGAACTGGCCATCTCGTGTCTGAATACTTTCACCTTAGTGTCTGGATCCTTTCTGGTCTCATTTTTGACCTGACAGCAGTTTAAGGTATCCCTCCACTCTCAGAAATTTGAAATCCAGAGGTCAAATCCACAGCAGCTCTCCTTCCCCCTCCCCACTGCCCGTTCCAGATGAAATCTCCTAGTCGTGCAAGCAGTTCAGGATGTTTCTTATTCACGTTTTCAGGAACATGCAGCTTTCTTCCCGCTTGCAAGCAAACCACAGGGTGGACAGACAAACAGTGAAGCAGAAGAGAGAGGCAGGTTGGCACCTTGGACCAGAAATGAAGTGAAACAAGTAGAGCCCATGAAGGGATGTAGTCTTAAAGGACTTCATTGCGCTGGCTAGCGCAGATGGAAACCAGGTTCTCCACCAGATCTAATTGGAGCTACTCGGTTATACTGGGGCTGCATGGTCTCTTCCTTCCATAAGATGTTCTTTAATGTGTGGTGAACATTTTTTGAAGATGGGACTCTGAGCCCTTTTGTCAGAGGTAGGTTGATGTTGGACTAGATGATCTTGAAGGTCCCTTCCAACCTAGATAATTCAATGATTCTGTGATTCTGCTTACATTTTGAAGGCCCCCATGAGCACTATGTAATAAACACTAGTAGGTCTTGCATGCTGTGTACCGGGTACAACCATTTTACGGTAGCACAAGCCCTCTGTCCCTTGTGTGTGTGAACACACTCGCAGGTCTTGCTCCTTGGGGCTTCAGGATCAGTTGCTGCATAACTATTTGCCTTCTAATGCAAACCTCCCACACTGACTGCCCCCTCCTTCCCTCCTCGTGTGTTTGTGGTGGGACTGCTGGCTTTCACGTTCTGCAGGCCCGGGATAACGTGGCCTTACGTAAGCACGGAGCCGGGTCCCACTGTCCTTGCTCGGTGCGGGGGCAACACAAACAGACTGCGAGCGTTTGTTCCCCTTTAATGAAGAGACTTGAGGGTCCGGCGTGCAGCACTTATTCTTTTGAGTAAACATCCGTTCCCACAGGCACCCAGCAGCGTCTGGCCGAGGAGATCAAAAGAACAGAAATGAAAGGATTTTCCCCGCTTTGCGGGGGGAGCGGGCAGCGGGACATCTCCTGTGAGATGGGATGGCTGAGTGCCCTCTTTGCAGAGGAACTCCGTGCCCTGGGCCAGGGCTGAGCTTCCAGCCTGGGCTGTCGGCTGCTGCTGGGATAAATGCAATATTTAAAGTGTCTGTTTGCAGCACGGGCTTTGGCGAGCAGGCCTCTTGCTGCTGATCAGGCTGATAAATCATTTAAGATCAGGGTTTCTGCAGCTCCCTTTGTGGGGTTTTTCCCACTTGGGCAATCTCACCTTTGGATTGAGGGACCTGGTGAGGGGATGTTGTTTTTGTCTTGTTCTGTACAACAGAAGAGCCACGCAAACTGAAAAAGGCAACATGGTGCAAATGGTGGCTGGGACACAGTATTTCTGGGCAGGGATGCTCACTGAATCTGAGCTACTGC